ATCGGCCTGAAGAGCACCGCAGTCGAGTTGCAATGATAACACTTTGTATATTTTTAGATTGTCAGCGGAAAGCAGTAGGCTCGATTTCAGTCGAAAGCAGAAATCACAGGAGCAAGTACCGTTTAATTTGACGAATGCCCTCCGACTGGATAGGTAAGAGCGCAGCCATTCGGTGATCCAAATTAGGATAGCCAATGTCAATTGCGAGGTCATGAGGAACCTTGTCAAACGCCTTCGAGAAATCGAAGTATATGGCATCAACTTGGTGCCGATTCTCGATTTCTGAAGACAGGAAGCTTACGTAGAACATCAGGTTCGTCATCGTAGCTCGCTTCTTAACAAATCCATGTTGAAAGTCCAATATCAGCGGTCGGGAGGCGAAATACAGAGCTTTGTGAAGCAATTGTTTGAACACTTTAGCTAGACAGCATAAAATCGAAACACCTCTGTAATTTTCAACAGCATTATTGTTATCAGCTTTGAAGATCGGGGTGATCGTCAGTGGTGTCAACAGTGAACCAGCACGTTCTCTTTAAAACAACGGCGGTATGTTGTCAGTGCCACCCCTGGGTGGTGCTTATTTCTAAAAATTGTTCGGTGATATGTTTTCCCACGTGGAAAATTATTATTTGGACTAATTACAATCATGAATTGAGCTATTTTCGTTGACATTTAGAGGTGGGGCAAGAGGTCTAAGTCCAAAATGTTGAACGACGAACTTTTTCAAATATAATGCTTTTATAAGTAAGCACGTGATTTTGTGACCCTTCACTCGTTCTTGAGATATATGGCATAGCGATGTTACCGCACATGGACTTATGCTTACATATTGATATATAGAAATCAGCATCCTTGCAGCGCTACATCCAGCGTGAGTAAATATGAGAATGAGAAAGGCAAAAAGAGAATGGTAGAGAAAGAGAAAACCAGAAAAGGGAGGTGAATAGATAAACTATCTCTAAATATATATTCAAGCGAACAACGATTTAGAAAAGGATTTCGAGTAAATGTGCATGGAAATTGTGGTCCAAGTAGCCTAGATACCCTCCGAGGGATAAGGAGAGCTGACTGTATTTGAAATGTGACCTGATTTCAACGTTAAGTATTAGAAATAGTAAATTTTTTCATGTTGAAAAGATTTTGATGATTTAAAAAAGTAAAAATTATCCTTGTTTCGACTTATGTACCAATTGCCATTTTCAATCATCATTGTGTCTCTTTCAGCGTGATGGCTTACGACCTCCTAATTATTTATTAACTATGTTGTTTCCATGAATTTAGGGTTCATAACCCAGGAAAATTCACAAACACTAGAAAAGCTTCGATTTATACCTTATTTATAAAAAATAAAGTTCTTTGTTTTTGATAATGAGGTGCTCATCATATCTTTGACTGATGCAACCTGCTATCTCCCTGTTAACTGGGGCCACATTATAGAATCAAGTCTAAACGACTGTTTTCGTACAAGCGTTCATACGAAAAACGCTTCTTTTCGACGTCTCCAATGAGGCCGCTGGAGAGTGGAGGTGACATTGTCGTTCCATATCGTGATGTATTGCATTTGGCAAGACCAATTAATACTTCACGTAGATACCATGGTCACACACGGAGTTGAACTTTTGAGTTTAAACAAAAAATCTGGAGATTTGCAGATGTTCCCGTTCAGACGCCAAGACTCATGGTAATATAAGTCTAAACAAGAATAACTAACAATTCAATGTAGTAGATATATATTCGCAAACAAGTAGTTCGTGAGTAGTTAGTCAGAGCACATTTCAAATACAGTCAAGTCTCATTCTCTTTAATGCGATATTCTCCCTAATTCGGCGGAAATCCATGCTACTCCATCGTAACTCGAAATTATGTCCTAACTCGTTAATCGCAAATTTATATTTAGAACGAGTTTACTGTAATAAGTTTTACCTTTATTTTGCTTTCTCGTTTTCTTCCTCTCTCTCTCTATCTTTCTTTCTCATTCCCTCTTATCCTCTCTCATTCTCATATTACCTCACGCAGCATCTATCACCGCAAGAATACTGATTTCGATGTATGTATCAATATGTAAGCGTAAGTCCATATGGGAACATCGCTACGCCATATATCTCAAGAACGAGTGAAGATACCACATGTTTACTTACAGAAGCATATGTTTTATTTGAAAAAGCCTTTCGTTCGACATTTTGGACTTAGACCCCTTGCGCCACCTCTAATTGTCAACGAAAATAGCTCAATTTTTGATATGTCACATAATTAGTACCAATAATCATTTTCCAAACGGGAAAACATGTCCTAGGACGATTTTTAAACAGTCCAGATTGTCAGGAGAGAATGTCGGCGATGTTGTACTGTGCATAATCCGGCAAAAAGATTAGCTAGCTCATGCGGTGAATCAGCAGATAAATTCGTGAAATCATCCCGGCAGGAATACGGTTGGATTGCTAAAGGCTACGTATAAACGACCAAAAGCATGACGGGTCTTGCTTCGTGGTCAGCTCCAATGGTCCGATGTACCTACGGAATGCAGCAGTCCGACAATCGCTGTAATCTATTTCGAGCGAAAGTAGATTAATCCGGTTCTCAGCAGTCCGAGCTCTAAAATAGCGTTTTCTAGCTTTACGCACAACGTAACAGAGATGCTGTAGCTCAGATGTACACCACGGATACTTGAACGAATAAGGTCTGCTTCGTCTACGTGGAACAAGTCATCCGCATTTGTTGCACGAAACATTTTAATCCAATCGACGTTATTCAATTCTGGAAAGCTGCAATGTCGAAAATCAAAATCATTGACGATGTTTGAGTCACTGGCAAGTTGCCTGTAGGAGTCGTTCATGTCGATGCGAAGAACAAACGGCTCATGATAGCTGTCAATTCTGAGCAGCGATGACGGAGGTTCGATGAGCTCAACATGGTTTGGTTCGTTTACAAACTCCAAATCAAGTGTACGACCATTCAAATTAAGCGGGCTGTTGAGCTGAAGCAGACCGGAGGCAACCATAGATTCAACCAAAGCAATTTCCTTTTCAGTAGAAGCGTTGGACGGAAGCATGTTATTGACATCTTCATCATACGACCATACCAGCTGCGGTAGATTTTAATCTCCAACGATAACAATCCTATCAGATTCCCAGGCACGTGCACAGATCTCATGGACTGCTGCAGAGTGCGTTGAGTTCAATTCCACTGGCTAGTTCGCACGGAGATAGATTCCACACACACAGATCGTCGCCTCATGGATATGCTCGATAGTACCACAATTTATGAGCTCTGCTGAACTGCAGTTGAGGTCGGCTTTAACCGCAATTAAAACTCCACCACCACGTCGAAGGTTGCTAGAAACTGCACTGCGATCACAGCGAAATACCGAGTAGTTGGCTGCGAACTCAGAGCTAATGGCATCTCACTGGGCCAAGTGGAAGCCAACATTGCTTTCTGATTCAACTGTATAGGCATCCCTACTTTGTACGACACAAAGTTCAAATATCGCGCATCCTTTCCTCGCGATTTTTAAATCAGTGGATCTTAGTCGTTGTCATACTAATTCTGCTATACAGTTGTCCGGAGTTTCGACGGATATATCCGAAAGATACAACCAAAACATGTTGCTATCTACTGTGGCGCTGGTAGAGACAGATTGCCCTGAACAGTCTGTGCCACGACGTAGTTGCGATGATCTTTAAGGAGTCGGTTCAGATCGCGGTTCAGAAGCGGTTTTGGGTACCGCTTCGATAAGCTCTTTGAAATTCGTGTGAATTTCTAACCTTATTTCATCCAATACGCTGCAGCGGATCTCATTCTTCAGTTCGTCAAAGTTCTGGAATATTGCGACGTTTATTGAAACCAAGACATTTCTAAATCGAGCATTTTCCATCAGTTTACTGTAAGCCTTACACATCCAGAATAGGTTCGTGTTGCTTGAAACCTTCGCACAGATGGTACTATCCACTTTTGAGCGCTTAAGGCAGAACTTAGCCGAACCGAATCCACTACACTTAATCATTTCATTATTATGGCTAACAAGCCTTTGGGGATTTTCCTAATTAAAAAGTTGTTACGATTTTCCTACTTTACTTTACATAATTCTTGGGATATTTGTTATGTAGGTTTTGATTCTGCACGTTGTATCTAGTTTCATTTTTATACCTGTGATCTTGACATGTTTACCTAGGGATGAGTGGGATACACTGATGAAGACTGCACATTTTAGTTAGTAGATAACCTTTTCTAAGCATTCCACCAACAACCCAATTTAATTGTTTCACTCTTTTGAAGTTTAAATAAACTCCTGTACTAGAAAAATTCAACGTAAACTCCAAGCGTTCGTATAAGGCAAAGTATGTCCAAGGCAAAGCACACCCAATTTCCTCTGCCTGCGGTTTACAGTCTCTTCCACGAAGGATTAAACATATGTGGCTCCGTATTCGCTTCGCTTCCTGTTCGTTCCCACGAAAAACATCCACTCTTGAATCAACATTCCTTTTTCTCAAACACACCTTAAAATTCATATAAATACGAAGGGGACGCATCATACCTTGTTCCACATCTATTCGAAAACGCATGAACCCAGCTTCATCCAGTCAAAACAATACCCCTTTCAGGCTTTCTCTCCTGCAAAGAATCTCTCGTTCACCGGAACATGCGCACTTCCGTCCACCCATCTTCGAACTGCTCGAATCCTTTCAAACTGTTCGAAACAACACCCGACCCGAGTGAATCCCTCTCGAATCGTGTACTAAAACAACACCTTCCAATATCAGCTGCTCAGACTCGTTCGTGTCGTGCTTTCGAGTTCCCAAGTCCGATGGTCCTCCGTCTACCTACAAACCGGTGGAAATCGCACGCGGCAGCTTCAGTATCGTGACGGGCTCGGGACAATCTGGACGCGAGTGTACCTACTTGGACGCCGATCGAGTTCGCAGCATTGGGTGGCGACGCGCGCGAATGCCTCTTCCTCCGTCGTCGTCGTGGTCGTGGTCGTCGTTGTTGATCGATTTCATCGAAGCACATTGAACCTCCTGTGTGGAGTTGTGGTCAGCAGCGGAGTCGGAGAAAAGTGATTATTTTTCTAATGATTATCGCTGCCTGACGCCAAGAGAGGGTTTAGCGAAGATCAGCCCACGGGTTCCAGTGGGTGGAGTTGTTGAATGGTGGACTTGACCGTCGACGTCGTCATCATCAGAGCATAGTTGGTTTGCCCTAGAGGGGTGTGGGTGGGGCCATCAAGGAAAAGCGTCAGTATCGTTTATTAATTATTCAAACATATCCAAGGCAGAAATGGGGATGTACGGTTATTGGTTGAGGGGCTTTGCTCGTATATCGATGCTCAATGACGCGAATGGATACAATGTTTTGAGCCGATGTGGTGTGGGGCTGTAACCGACGCGATGATGGTTCGGAAAGTTCTCCGGGGCACTGTGTAATAAGAGGAAGAAAAAAGTAGTGTTTGTGTTGTGCGAGGAGGTAGAGGAATGCGAAGTAACAGGCCTTCGTCTGCAGAAATTGCAAACGAGAAATAGTGTTATTCTGTGAGCCGAATCCACCCACTCTGACCGGGCGTGTGCACAAGGAAAGTCAGTCCGGCTACAAGAAGGCAAACAACAAGAAGAACGAGCCGAGAAAAAGGGAAAATCGATGTTTGGATACTTCTGAGTGTGTGTTTTGGCTGGGTTGTGAGCGCGAGTGTAGTGTACTTCTGCCAAAAAGTTCCGAACTTGGAAAACTCGGTCCTTGGGATGGCTCAGGCGTGTTGAATGAGCTGAAATAAATTTTATTATTGTTTTCCCTTCTTTCCACCTCGTTGACGCCAGTTGTCGCCCGTACTCACAGTGCAAAGCAAACTCCCCGTATCCAGCGTCGTCTGAGATTAGATCCCAGCAGGATATCGCGTGCGGTTGAGAACAAAATCCGAGCTACCGCACACTGTCGAGTGCTGTGTCAATAACAGAGCAGCAAAAGCAAGTCAAAATTAACCGAAATCCTCAAAATGTGGAGAAATCATCATCTGTCCTGTCGGCATGAAATACCACCATCAGTAAACACATACCCAGAAAAGGGAGACGGATTTCCAAGTAAGTGAACATTTCCCACGCTACAGACAACCCTGCTGGGAAATCAAACAACCCGTTGATGCGAGAATGAAAAAAAATAAGAGAAAAGTGAACCATTCAACATCAAAAAGAAGCTCTCAGTGAAAAGCGTGAAAACAAACCAGGTGCACGAGGAGTCCATTATTCACAAGAAGGGCTGAGAAGTGATGTGATGCTATTGTCGTCAAAGGTGCCCTCGTCGTCGTCGTTTTCGGTGACGACCCAGTGAACCGGTGCTGGTTGTAAAATACAAGAATAGAATACAGGAAAATCCAGCCTCACAAGGGCAGAGTAAAAAGTGTAACGAGAGCAAGCGGATTAAAGTGGGGGCTGATTGCTGTTACTGACACTTTGTTCGCGGCTCGCAATAAAGGAAAAACAACAACCGAAAAGTGGCAAACTTTTTATGAAAGGTAGGTATGTCTTCTAGCTCGTTATTTAGCGGGGGATCGAAATGGATGGCATTCGCTGCCATCGGGTGAACCTTTCACTACAATTAAAGAGGAACTTTGTAGTTTAAGAAATAAATATACAACTCAATATAATTAAAGTTTAGTAAAACACCGCACGAATTGAAGACATTTCATTGTAATTGATGAAATATTTAAGTTCTTGGTTATTGTTGAGCTTTGAGCTTCGTAGTTGCGATTGTACGACTTTTCCTCGAATGAACCAGTTCCCCTAATGGTGCAATTACACAAAAGCACTAATTCATCGAAAAAGTTGCGATTTTCAGTAGGATTTCTGTAGGATTTCTAAGCGCTGTTCCTAGCGAAGGCCAACCAATATGATGTTGCTGGTTTTGCCTCATATGTATAAGATTGGCAGAACTCTGAGAATGAGCATCATTGACCATCAGCTGTAATTACACAGATAACCAACAGATGATGCAATCATCCTAAATGTGTAAAAACTGGTGATCTAAAATTAGACGTCCGAATGCAGGTCAAGAAAGGATTGGGTAGGAATGTGTTGACGTGATACACGCTTGGTTGGAAACCGAGGAGTCCTCTGCACTTCCACGAGAAATCACTGGAATGTTGGATAAAAGGGTAGGATATGCAGGCAAACGAAACGCTGAATTACACTAATGGGTTCGAGCAGTGGCACAGTCAGGATTTCAATGGGAGAGTTTGTAAAAATTAAGTAATTAAAAAAACACTATGTTTATTGAAGCACCAGTGGTCTGAGATGGCAAAATCACGGACTTAACTGAATTGTGTTTAAACTATTGACTCAATCGAAAAAGTGTCTTGAGAAAAAAAAATCACATAATTCACAATTGGACAACTTCAAAAAACTTATCATAGCCTACTATGAAAAAAAAATAATAACTTTAATTTTTCCCGAAAGAGATAGAAGGATACTATTTCAAGCAAAGTGGTAGGAGTGCTCAAAATATAAAACTTTGTTAAAAATGGGAATTTCCTTTTTTTTGCCCCTTTGATTTGTTTTCCGTCGATCTTGTTTTCCGTGCTGAGCACCAATGCTACCGACGCCAGGGAGGCAGCTCCCACACCTGGACCCTACCTATCGATCCATCAACTCATGAACCGGGGACCACCGGCTTTACTTCCATCAGAGATGTTATGCTTCAGAACATCCCGGCGGCGCTGACCGGGATTGAACCCAGGCCTGCTGGGGTGAGAGGCAATCACTTTTACCACTACACCACTGGCGCCGCTAGGAATTTTCTTTGTCTAATATTTTTGGAGATATAGACCGTTTTCTATATGGTTCAAGCAAATAATGTTCTAAACAAACATGAAAAAAGTAAAACTACTTGACATTTATACCTAGAGGATGAGTACTTAAGGGGCTTAGATTTTTGATTAGTCTTTAGTGGGAATGACACTGATGAAAATATTGAACATTTTAGTTGAAATACGTATCGGTCATGGATACCAACATCAATTAAATGGAATTAAATGGAAGATAACCTTTTTTGCTGTTTAATTTAAGCATTCCGCTAACAACCCAATTTTATTACTTCATTACTATTGGGTTACAAAAAAGAAGCTAAAGGCTAATCTGAGAATATTATAAGTTGAGTTTTGGAATCGTTAGGAGAAATCTTCCATTTTTGTAAATAAGTAGAGAAAATATCTAAACTTTTCTGCAGTCAGCTGCAAATAACACGAAGACTTATTCCTTTAGCAGAAATGCCTGTGTCGTCGGCGAACAAAGATTTGCGGCAACCCTGAGGCAAATCAGGGAGGTCCAAATTGAAAATGTTATGGCCCCAAGATTCCTCCCCTGAGGAACTCCAGCTCTAACAGGTAGTCGTTCAGATTTGTAATTATGATAATTTACCTGCGGATTTCTGTCAGTTAAATAATTCTCATCTATTTTTTTTGTAAATTGATTTATGTGTACAGGCTCAATCGAATAAACTTTACAGAGCCTTATTATCATTTGTGCTATAAATTATTAATATCTTAAATTTAAAGTTAAAATCTAAAGTTAAAGTAATTTAACCGAGTACTCGCGGTCGTCTCGAGGTTAGTGGACATTTACAGTTTCATGGATAGGGAAAGGGTGAAGGAGGTTTGAATTGATACAAATATTTTATTATTCCTAAGACATGAACTTATTTCTATTCAACTTGACATCAGCAGTGTAATTATACAATTCCTACAAAACACACACACACACAAAATACAAACTAATTCCAAGGTTGATCAAACCTACAATCTAAGGTTAATATTCGTCAAGAAAACATTTATGAGTTTCATAAACTCCAGATCGCGTCCAGCCAAAACATCCCGAACTGGAACATTACGTTGTCTACCTCGAGCCCAAAGGGAATCATATAGCTCAGATCTGACTCCACGATGGTCAGCACAAGATCAAATAATGTGATATACGTCCTGATAACCTTGTCCACATTCGCAGAGATCCCGAGCAAAGTAAAATAACAACCTGATATCATACTGAAAACAAATTTTGTTATTCCAGATATCATTTTGTTTTCAGTTGTTATCACATAACCTAATTAGTAATCAACCTCGACTAATTTTGTTATCAGTTATCAGATATCATGAAGAAAAAAAAAATGATCAAAACATTCAATAGTACCACATGGTAAGAAATAGAAACACTGCCAATCATATTTCATTTATGATCGTTAGGCTGTTATACCCAAGGGGTAAGCCACTCAGCACATTGTGCCGAAATTAAATTCAGCACAGCTTGGGCACATCAATCGGTACACATTCGGCACAATCTCGTAGGCATTGGATTGTTGTAAATAAAAGAGAAGGAGAACTGCTGGATAACTGTCATTGAAGCAGTTCACAACATTACGTGCTGTTTGACTGACTGAGGAACTCAGACCAGCAGTTCACTTATAGATCTAAATACGAAATGTAGGTCCTAGAGTGGGCTCAAGAGAAAGAGACAGTTAGATCCCATTAATACCTTTAATTCAAATAATGCTTCAACTCACAAAACAAACTACAGAAGTCTATTCATAATCCTCTATGAACAACAATGTTCCCCACCGGTTCCAATTCTTTCCAGCCGCTGATAGACCGTTGCTTGTCACATCACGAAAGGCTAGGTTTCTGGTCTGCCTTCGAGGGCATTATAAAACCCTAAAACACAGGACTTTTATTGTCCTTTGAACACAAAAACCAAAATTTCTCACACCCGCCACTTCCCGCGTCATCCTTAATCCGATTTATCCTTGCAATTTCACACCAAAACATTCAGAAATACCGAGTTGCTAGGATGGATATTTTACAAACAATCGCAGCTTGCTCTATGACCGGCACAATTGGCACACCTGTGGCACACTTGCGGCACACTGACAAAAAAGATGACCCAAGACTGGTGTGCAGACTGACCTACCCCTTGGTTATACCACATCGATAAAATAATTTTAAATTTATTGAAAAATCTCGCATGGATCACAGGATTTGTTATCAAGATGTTTTCAATTAAAACTAAATCAGTTATTTTTGTGAAAACATTCGTGGCCTTATTATTTAAGCGTGTAATCAATTCATAAGTAAAGTCAATTAAAAGGTGTGGCAAACAGTATTTGCTTTCTCATGCATGTTACACGCCTACCCTGACGTCATGACATTGTAATACGTTCAGACTATAGTTGATAATAATAACGTAATAACATAATATAAAATGATATTAAAAGTGCCTAAATTACGTGATATCTGCCTAAGTTTGAATGTACTATTAGCTTAGAGGTGAACCAAACAAATATAAGAATATGCAGATTATATCTGCCATCCCTCTCTAATAGAGGAGTCCGCTGGTTTTGGTGTATTTAATGAATTTCATAGCGCCTCTCGAAAACTTGAAGCTCCTTGTTCTGTGGAGCTGATGTGACTGAACTGGCAGCAATTCACTACACTATTGCTTCACTTCTTCCAGACCACTACTATATTTTTACGGATAGTCTCAGTTCTGTCGCGGCTATCCGTTCCATTAGGCCGGTAAGGCACTTCTCGTATTTTCTCTTGAAAATACGAGAGCTGCTTAGTGCTTTATCCGTGCGCTCTTTCATCACCACCTTCGCGTGGGTCCCTTCGCATTGCTCAATTTTGGGCAATGAGAAGGCGGATTCACTTGCGAAGGTGGGCGCTATGGAAGGCGACATTTATGATCGACAAATCGCCTATAGTGAATTTTTCTCTTTTTATCGTCAGCAGTGACTCGTTAGCTGGCAACATCAATGGAGTGAAGGGAGCTTGAGTCGAGACTTCATACGCGTGATGTCTCGTCTCATGTCCAATCACTATTGTCTGAACGCTCACTTGTTCCGTGTGGGGTTGGGAGACAGCAATCTCTGTGAATGTGGACAAGGTTACCAGGACGCTGATCACATCCTTTGGTCTTGTGCGGAGTATCGTGGAGTCAGGTCACATTTTTATGATTCCCTTCGGGCTCGAGCTAGACAACCTAATGTTGCAGTTCGGGATATTTTGGCTAGACGTGATCTGGAGTTTATGAGACTCACATATGTTTACTTTAAGGATATTAACCTTAGATTGTAAGTTTGATTAACCTTGTGTTTTGTTTGTATTTTGTACATGTGGGGTTTTTTTTTTCAATGTTTGTTTTCAAGATAATTTAATGTTTAAGGATTAACTAAATATTTGTCCTGATGAATGTGGGCGTCTTAGTGGAATACCTGTATAATGAGAGAGAGAAGGATTAGTATTTTCCATTTAATTCCACTACTTTATTTGCTTATCCTTGACAGATACGCGTATTTCGTCTACAATGTGCAGACTTCTTCAGTGTCTTGTACTAATACTCGACTTTTTCAGTGTCTTGTACTAATAGTCGAGTATTAGTACAAGACACTGAAGAAGTCTGCACATTGTAGACGAAATACGCGTATCTGTCAAGGATAAGCAAATAAAGTAGTGGAATTAAATGGAAAATA